TATATAATCAACACAATTTTAGAAAAATAAATACGATGATGTGTCGAATTAAGAAGAATCACTTTTGTATTTCATGTTGACACTGCTCAGCTTTTTATATTGAATTCAACTTTAAAACTTCATTTTCTAATAAAATGGGTGATTGTAAATGTGCTCCCATTTTTGTTTTGTTCTGAGAAAAAAAAGTTTATTAGTGAACTGTGAAAAAAATACAAATAAAAAAGGTTATAACAGAAGGGAAAACACCAGTGACTGAAATGAAAGAATCCCTTTAAGATGACCTTTAAAAGCTTAAATAAAACATTTGCATCATGTCTAATTTATCTCTTCTGTGTTACAGTGAGAACTGTTGAATTCTACAGCAGAGTTTTGATAGTTACTTTTCATCTCATTTGATCTTCGCTCAAAAAGAGAAGAGCTACCATAATTGTTAATAAATGCCTGAAGCAATTAAAAAAAGACTTTTGCCTTTGTGTAAGATGGTAATAACTTGAACATATTTCCACAGAAAGTGATAACAGCTCGATGTCTGTGGGCTCCTAAGGGATGCTCCAAACCCTTAAGTGCTCACAACTGTATCTGCCTCATCCTGACTACAGAACCAGAACTCCTGCTCGTTCAGGGCGTTGGCAAACCAGCTGCTGCTGGTTAGTTCTCTGAAATGTGTACGTTTAATGCGCAAGCTGCTGGGCTACGCTGTTTGCTTGTCTCAGATCTAATGGGAACAGGACAGCAATCTCTAATTGACAGCAATCTAATAATAATGTTGACAGTCATGCAAGCAGGAAGTCATCTCAGATGGAGTGTGGGCTAATAATTGCTGCCATGCCCATTACCTTGTGTAATGCACATGTGAAAAGTGCAGTTTGTAATTTAGTCTTTGTGCCATAACGTGTAACAAAAATGTAATCACACTTTTCTGCATCCTAACAGAATGTAACATTCCACAGTAGGGATAGATCAAACATTTTGTTTAACTTTCTGAACTTTCAGTACAAAATGCACTTAATTTCCACTCACCATCAGTTTTCCAYCCTGGACAGCTGAACTCTTGTTTTGACTTCTCCTGATCTGGATTTAAGAAAAAACTGTTTGAAAGAATAAAGAAAGGGGTTAAAAAAAGTTTAAATAATTGGAATCCGCTCAAAGGTTTAAATCTTCTTCCTGCTGTTCATTAAATCAGTCTCCACCACTCCACACACTGACAGACTGAGGTTGTGTGTTCCGCCCTTCTTCAAGCAGCTGATGTCTGCTCTGCTGCTGCTGCGCTTCCGGATCTTCCTCCTGGGCAGCAGCTGGTTCCACAGAAGCTCTTTAGATAGGCGTCACTGTCGGGAACGACATGTTGTTCTCTGTTATCGAAAACTAACAGCTAAAACCACAACTAACTATTGTAAATGTCGTGTTTGTTCAAAACGACTTGATCTATCGAGCAAATTTACTTGTTTATGTGTTTTACTTAACTCTAATTAAAGCCAGGAAGGACAATTTATGCAATTAAATTAAATTAAATTAAATTAAAAAGAGTAATGTTTATTTTAAACAAGGTTTTATGTTTTACTTATTTAATAAGTCATGTTTTAGTTTGTAATGTTAAGATTAATGATAAAAGGAGCGTGTCGCCCCCTGCTGGACACACACCGAAGCTGTTCCTCAAAAAATACATTTTATTTTATTTCATTTTTTCAATTATGGGGATAATTTACTTTATTTAATATCAGTGCATTACACAGCAGCATAATTAGCTGGAAAATTAAGAATTAGCTCATTTGATTAATTGCTATATTTAATTTGGCCCACGCAGATAAAAATGAATAAAAACCTCAAAACAAATAGCAGCTGATAAAAAAAAATATTCATCACACTATAAATTTCACAGTCCAAATGGTTATGGGAAGTTTGTTGCAAACATTGAGTAATTGTCACAGCATGAATGATACTGACAGCAAAAATAAACACGTGTTTAATTTTATAGTGTTTATTTAAAATGTTTGCATTGGATTAATTTTGATTTTATAATTTTGTTTTATTTTTATTGATCACTTATAGTTTACAATTACATGACATCGTTTAATGAAATAAAAACAGAAGATAACTAATCAACAATAGATGTGTGGCATCTATAACAAAATCACACTTTTTGTCGAACACTATTTTTTATTATTATTAATTTAGGTTAAAATAAATATTCTGCTTCTATGCTTATAAGACATACCTTTGTCTGAGATCAGAAGGGGGGTCAACGTGACCGTCTGTGGAAAATTTAACCCCGTGTTTAAAGCAAAGTTTAACCCCGTGTTCAATGGAAAATTTAACACGGGGTTAAATTTTCCGTTTCTTCTTTGTCATTTTTTCCATCACTGAACAAAAGGGGCTTTAAGCAGTCACCTCCTAATCTTCTCATAAATCCTTTAATTCCAAATTTCTTCCCAACAAACTTCCTACAAACTTTGGAATCAAGTGTCAGACAGTCTTTCGACGTGAACAGAAGAAAACAAATCARACTTTAGAGGTTTTGTTTTTAGTCCAGTGTTTTAAGAGCTGCTGAATTTGGWGGGATCTTAAATGTGACCCACAGATTTTTCCATTCAGTTTGGACCAATAGGGGGCGCTGTAGAGCTGTGTTGTTGGAGTGAGGGAGATAAAGGATCTTCTGTTTTACTGCAGATATAAATGAAGGTTAACTCTTGAGACCACAGAAGGGACAAAGCATCAGAGCAGCAGGAGGTTCAAAATGGCTCAGCAGGTAACTTTGACCTCACTGCATTTAAAAATTAAAAACAAACTAAAATAGTTTGTAGACTCTTCAGTTTTATTTCTTATTATTCTTTTTGTTTGTTTTTTACTTTTTCTTCCTTTCAGCAAAACATGGAAGAAGGGACAGCATTGATTTCACCTAAAGCTTCCCAAAAGTCAAGCGGTTCTATGATTTCTGCTTCTTTTAATTTCATCAACTCTATAATAGGATCTGGAATAATAGGTAAATATTGACTTCAGTATGACTGCAGATAACATGGTTAATCGTTTAGTTTGAGACTAAATACTAATTATTTTCATTTTTTTATTATTGCGAAATAAATGTTTATTATTGTTATTATTGCAACAAGGAGAAGCTTTTACTTGAGCCCCAGAGAAGCATCATGGGACCGTTGCCCCATCTCCCTTTATGCATTTCATCATTTGACTTAAAAAAAAAAAAAACTTGTTTTCATGTATTTGTCTGACAACAACTTTTTATTGTTCAAGACTCAGTTTTAGTTTATGTCTGTTCCAGTTTTTGTATCATAAAAAAGTTATAATTTGTTTATACCTTTTCAGCTCTAAAACTTCACCAGATTTATTGTCATGAACCTGCAGGACATGCACGCAAATGATGACTTTGTTAACTTTTTTTTTTTTTTACAAATTTGGAACGGGGTAGTTTCTGACATCTCTGCGGTCAGTGAAATGCTCCTGTTTATGTTTTACGTGTTTGCTCTCTTTAAACCAGGTTTACCGTATGCAATGAACCAGGCAGGACTCCCATTTGGCCTTCTGCTTTTGATTCTTGTTGGATTCATCACAGGTGGGTATATTAAAGATGCATTTTCTCTTAAAATGACAAGGATATATATATTTTTTATCATTTTGACATGTCTTATGTTTGTGTTTCATGCCAGACTATTCAATTATTCTACTGATTAAAGGAGGRAATCTGTCAGGAGCGAACAGTTATCAGTCGTTGGTACGAAATGCATTTGGATTTCCTGGATTTTTGATTCTATCTGTTCTGCAATTTCTTTATCCTTTCATTGGTAAGTTCTTACAAACATGCCATTTTTTGGTCTTCTTATTCCATCACAGTTGCACAGTATCACCAAGTTTGATTAAAATTAAAAAAAATGCAGATTCATCTTATTCCTCTCCTTCAGCTATGATCAGCTACAACATCACAGCTGGTGACACACTGACCAAAGTGTTTCAGAGAATACCAGGAGGTAGCTACTTTCTTTTATCTAAAATAAACAAATGTGACCCAACTTATTGAACCAAGGATTGAACCACAAAGTGGTATAAAGTCAGTTATAGTGCATGGTTGCAATAATTGCATTTTGTCAAAATATAATGAATTAGCTTATCTATGGGTTATTTTAATGAAGAAACTGAAATAAAGTCTTGAAATCTTTCTTCTCAATGCCTATTTTGAGCAGTAACTACAAAAAACATGATTTTGAGCAAAAATGACTTAATTTAGTCAATTTTCCTGTGAGCTAAAGGAAAACTTATTTTCTTTGCAATTGTGAAATTTGAGGTTTCCTCTTTAAAATGACAAACAATTCCTCTTTAGAATAACCTAAAAAAGTACTCAGTGGATTATCTTGATAGGAAGATATTTTAAGCAGTTTCTCTGGAACCGCTCATATCAGCATGATCCAGACTAAACATAGTTTAAAAAGCCAGGATCCTGAAAATGTGCTCAGATCATTTTGACCAAATTTGAATGAATCCTCACTTTGATTTGATTGGTCACAAATGTGTGAAATTAATTTAAATTAAATTGAAATGGAAAAATGAAACCACGCTGAGCGTTCACACTAATGTGCTTGCAGTTGGTCCGGATCACATACTCGYGGAGCGTCACTTTGTCATCATGCTCGCCACCCTTCTCTTCATGCTGCCGCTCTCACTTTATCGGAACATAGAGAGACTAGGGAAGGTAGGACTGAAAATCCCAAACTTATCTGTGTGTTGTTAACATCAGCTCTCTATTAAATAATCCCATCTTGCCAGGTGTCCTTACTGTCAATGGTGCTGACGATCTTCATCCTCGTCATCACAGTCATCAGAGCAGCAACTCTTGGAACCCAAATGTGTGAATAAACACAATTAATCTATACGTGAAACTGGGTTATTCCCATGCACTTAAAGAAGCATTTGTATTGATGACTGAAATTCTTGTCTAGTGAACCTACAGAAAATGCATGGGTGTTTGCAAAGTGGAACTCCATCCAGGCGGTCGGGGTGATGTCTTTTGGTGAGTTTGTCTAATCAATAAATTAATTTAACGCTTTTTCAAAAAGAAGTGAACACCTTAAACCAGGGGTGTTAAGACCAAAAATCCACACTTGGTCAAAGCCAAGGGCCAATTTCTGTGAATATTTATTGAAAAGGTGTTACATAAGAAATTATTGTTATGTAAAAACGAATGGCATATTCCAAATTAGGTTTATAGGATTCACAACATATGTAACTATTGGATGAAGAACAGAAAAATACATTTAAAGACTCATTAGCATTCAATTCTCATGCCTTACTACCTATCAACAACGTAGTAATTTATCATTTCATAGAGATACATTTTATCCCAAGCTAATCAAGYAAAAAAAACCTAACAAAAATCCAATTGTTTGACTTTAAAATAAGAAAGGAATAAATATTAAATATATTAAAGTTGATTTTCTGTTGCTCCTTCTCCTCACAGCAGCACATTTAACAATAGTTTGTGCTAAATAACAAATCATGTTCACGCTGAACAGCAATATTAAACATAATATATCACTTACTTTGCCATCATTTGCAGATTTGTGAGGAAGAATAGGGGCAGAAGTTTCCTTTCAGTAAAAAATCTTTGGGTAAACCTGCTGGTAGTAGTTTTTAAAGGAGTCCATCGTGAAATTATTTACACAAACTACAACTTTCTTTCGCAATATTGCTAGACTGTTGCCATCAAAAAAAAAAAAAAATAAATAACAGTAAGCCGTGCTTCTCTGTTCTCCATGACTGTTGTAAAAACAGCCGCACAAATTTCTGTCCTGTGAAGAAGTGGGTGGAGCTCCAGCTTGGGTTGCCAGGTGAGGGGCTGGGCTCAGGTTGGGGTGGGTTGGCATAAAGTTTGTGACATAACAAACCATTGGTGTTTGAAACAGTTCATTTCAAGACACAAAAAATACATTTACTTATAGTAAAAAATACCTCTTTATGCTTGGACTGCCTTTAGAAGCAGTACAGACCCAAATGTAAGTAAAAAAAAACTGAAAAAAGTGAATTTTGCATATTAGGTCCCCTTTGAATTATTACATTTGGGGCCGGATAAATTAAATAATGGGGGCCAGATTTGGCCCACAATCCTTGAGTTTGACACGTGTGCCTTAAATATTTTGTTTTTATTTGTATTTTTGTGCTTGTATGTCTTTAGCCTTTATCTGCCACCACAACAGCTTCCTGATCTATAACTCTCTGGAGCAGCCCACTTTATCCAACTGGTCTCAGGTCACTCACATCTCTGTGGGCTCATCGCTGATAATCAGCGCTGCGTTTGCTGTTGCAGGCTACACAACGTTCACTGGCTACACACAAGGTATCAGTAAAGAGCTGACAACTCTGCATGATTTCTGTGTCTTAAATACAGATTTCTTGCTTTAACTGTTTTACTTTCCAGGAGACATATTTGAGAACTACTGCAGAGACGACAACCTGGCAACATTCGGTCGCTTCTGCTTCGGCTTCAGCATAATAACCACGTTTCCACTCGAGTGTTTTGTTACAAGAGAGGTAAATGATCTGTTTGAACAGGTTGAGCTACAAATTCAATGGTTCAAAGTTGACAAATGTTGGGGCAATTGTAAAGGTTTAGATGGAATTGTAAAGTGATGCTAAATGAAGGTTGACTTGATCTTATTTCATCTTTGAAACGAAATTGCTTTTATGATTTTCCTAGTTGAAAAAATGCTTAAACCTTAATAACTTTAGCACAAAAAGTAACCAAATTTGTGTTCGATATATTACTTTTTACTTGTAACAATGCTTTTTGGCAATAAATCTGGGAAAGCCGGTTAATTTCTCTTTTAAATGGTGCCACATTTGTAAGGAACAAGCATTTGTGAGATGAGCAGCAGAGCTGAGTATAGGGGTTACACACATGAAAAATGAGCCAAATCCTCTCTGGCATTGCCAAACAGTTTATTATGCTGTTTACTCTTGTTTTGAGTGTTTGGTACCAACCAATGGCAATCCCATATCTCTGGTCTTATTAGACTGAACTCTGTTCTCCATGCTTACGCTCATCCCCACAGAGCGTGATTGTTCAGAGACTACTTTCAGAATCAAACAAACATTTCTGTACTTTTTGTGCTTTCTAAGTTTAGATGTGTTTGTTTCCCCAGGTGATTTCCAACATCATGTGCAGTCGAGATCTTTCGAAAGCTGAACATGCTGCTCTAACCACTCTCATCGTTGCTGTCTGTACCGCTATATCTTTGGCTTATGACTGCCTGGGGGTTGTTTTGGAACTAAACGTAAGTCAACCAGTCCGTGCCATTTTATATAAGATCATTAGCTTCATGCTATAGACTAATATTAAGTTAATTTCAAAAACTTAAACCACTTTTTATCCATTTAGGGTGCTTTGAGTGCCACCCCTCTCATCTTCATCATCCCAGCTGCATGCTTCCTCAAGCTCTCCCCTGGCGGTTGGTTCAAAGTTGAAAATCTGATTCCCTTCCTGTTGATAATAACCGGCTTGTTTGTCATGATCACTGGTCTGGTCATGACCATAATTGACCCTGATGACTGCTCGCATGGTGTAGAGATGTTCTACTGTCTAGATGCCAACACCTCCAGCACTGTACAACCTTGAAAGATGCATTCTTTAAATATTTAATTTTATTTTTTTACATTCATTGACAGTGGCATCAATATCTGTATACAAAAACCAGTGACTTTATACGTATATTAAAGATTTAGACAGGGATGTTGACATTTTTGCATTTATTATTGAATGTAATAGTTTAATAGCAATCCCTCCTATACAATTAAACAGTTTTGTTTTGAATTTTCCTTTCAAAGCCCTAAAACTCAGCAAAGTCCCAGAAAGAGATTTGCCAAGGCCTCCATGTACTCATTGGCCAAGTCTAAACCTCTGATCTTTTTAACGAGGCTAATTAGGAGTAAATATTTTCTGCCAAAGAAGTGTTGCATAACTGTTTTAGAAAAGTAGGGGCTGAGAACCAGCTTTTTATCATTTGCAGTTTGGAAATAAGATCTTGAGCAATCGAGTGCAAGATTAAGGTTTTGACATATGTTGGATTATGAATGGTATGTTTTGCTAAAATGTGTTTTTATTCAAAGATATATATTTTTTGTTGTTTTAGAGTATTTTTTTGTGTTTTCATTAGCTCCATACTGTGATACCGTGAAATTAAAACATAAACAACGAGGACAGAACATTCATGGGAAATGTTCCTAAACTATCAGAAACTGAACACTCACAAAAACCACTGTTGTTTATTAATCTACATAGATATCTAAGATTTGTTTTTCTCTGAAAGCTTGGAAGTTAAAAACCAAAAAAAAAAAAAAAACCTTTTATCTCATCTAAAGAACGCATGGGTAAAATATGCCCTCAGGGCCAGAAGTATTTGGACAGTTTTTCATAGAATCACAACAGTGTCATTGTACTCAAAACATATTTTTTAATAAAAACTTGTGAATTATGTAGCTAAGTCATTGGAATCTTCAAAAAAAATAAACGAAAGTGTCTAAAAACACTTCCATCGCAATGACTTTACACCCCAGTTCAATATGTGGCTCTGCAAAGGGTTTAACTAGTCAATTTGGCCCTCTAGTATAAAAATGTTTCCCACATGATCTAATATGTAACTCACCCATTGCTGTGAAGTTAGTTCTGAACATCTTTAAATGTAAAAGAAAAAGAAAGATGAAATGAACAACAGAACAATAATTAGATTACAAACCTTGCTAAGTTGGAAAATACATACATACATACATACATACATACATACATACATACATACATACATACATACATACATACATAC